TTAACAGTTACCTTGCTCTTTGTTTTGACCACTTGTGGAGCCAGGGCAGGAACAGGTTCCTGTACCTCTTTGCACAGCACCCTCCGTACACCTCTCCCTTGGTCCTTTGAGGGAGCTTTATGCAATTTGGTAATAACAAAAAGTAGACTCTCTTACTAGCTCTACAGCACATGGGCTTAGGTGACTGGGACAGGAGTTATTTCTTTTATTTTGTAAAGTTGCCTGTTTATCAGTGTACCTCTGTGCATGGAGTCAACCTTGTCTCCTTTCCATCTTGGGCAGCATATCACAGGAAAGATCCTCCAGGAAAAAGGAGGCCCTTTCTGGCATCTGGACAATTCTGTGAGTCCTTAAGGCTGCCAGTAAAAAAGGTACTTATGATGGTGGATAGCAGAGAATTGTACCAGTCAGGTGCCAGAAGGAACAGGATTCAGTTCACTGTGTCTTAGTTATATTGGCTTTGCAAAGTTACTGGGGAAAGGTAGCAAATTAATTTCCGTCCACTTAAATCACTAAAGTACAGCAGGTATGTGCTGAGAAAAAAGTCAGATGAGTGAAGGGACGATTTTAAGGCACTTTTAAGTCACAGATGCACTAAAATTATGTCTGGCCTGTAAACATTAGAGGAAGGGACATGTTTTCTAGTTCTTGCTTAGCCTTTTACTATTATAAATGCAAGCATTATTTCAAAACAGTAAAAGAAAAGGGGTGGGAGGGATCTAATAATTCACTTTCAATTCATCAAAACTTGCTGCATGTACAAATATGGTCAAACTTAAATATTTGATATGTCCTAGCTTAAAGTAACTTTCTTGTACTTTAAAGATAGACCGTCTAGCCTCTAGGTCATATTTTTATGTAGAATTCAAATTCAGTATGCTTTCTTTCCATCTTTGGGAAAGGTAACAGGTTAAAAAACACAGCCTTGACTTTTTTTTTTTTTTTAAATCTATCCTAGTTCTTCTTTCAAGATTATAACAGCATTACAAAAGAAAAGTTTCAGCTATTCTGACTATCCTTATTTTCTTTAGCATATAGCAATCTATTCCTCTAAAATTTTCAGGTGCAATAACTACAAGAAAAGAGCAGCCCAAACTGATACAGAGCTCCTCCCAAAAGTGCTTGGCAGGATGTTTAATGTAGCTCACCCAGTGGACCGCTCTGCTTTCCAAACTGTGCATAGAAATGCTATACACAAATTCCACCACCTAAAAAGATAAGCAGTCTCTTGGAGAAGTCAATGCAGTCTTCATTGACTAGCACCTTTCTGCTGGTGGGGTTTAAAGGCAAGGCTATCCTTTCCTAGGCAGTGATTCTTCAAAGAATTTAGGAACGTAGGCTTGGGTTGGACCTGCTGGTTTGCTGCTATTGCTGCGAGCAACATTATGATCTTGTTAACCTGGATCTCAAAATAGGAATGAACTTGGAAGGTTTTTGTTTCTGTTACTTGTCCTTGTAAATGCTGCTTTACGCACTGTTCAATTGTGTGTCCTATGTTTTGCTGCTACTCAAGAAAAGATGAACGAAGAAAGGAGGGGAAGGGAGGTGAAGCAGAAAGTTCAGTGTAAATGAGTTCTCCTCCATCACAAACTAACAAAGTTATCTACTCATTTCAGTTGGAAAAAACAACAACAACAACAAAATACTGCTTATAAGCACAACAGAAATATCTGCAGGTATGTTTTACAGTTTAATGAAACACAAGTCAAAAAAATCTTCCTGTTTCTGGATTACCCCCAGCCCAACTGAGATCACAAAGGGAACTGCTCTCTTATCATATATGATCGTCTGAGTTGTGGTAGCAGCCAGCAGTCTCATCCAAAGAGCAGGACTCTACTATGCTAAACCATTTCCAAATATTAAAGGCAGGCCCTGACAGAAGAGTTTACAGCCTAAATACCATCTCCAGTTTTTCAGCAAACTGCTTATTTCCTGATATTCTCTAGATGTACAAACACTTCACCCCAAAGACCCTGCCCCAATCACCAGACCATTCTGTCAAAAACAATACAATCAGGAAAGTTATTAAGAAGAAAGTCTACCCCAACAAGTAAGAGTCCTCAGTGCAGCAGAATAAACTCATTATATTATAAGTGTTTCTAATGATATATGTTATACTTTTATGCCACATTGTAAAGCCAGGGTGGAGTCTTGCTCCTAGAACTCTCCAGGCAGGCTGGCACCATACTGTTGACTTGACAATCAACTTCAAATCAATCCAGTATCATGGGAATCGCAAAGTCTTCAATCACATACATTTCGGAAAACATCTTCCACTACGTCTGTGCCTGTATTTTTAAAACTGTCTGAGAGCAGAAAATGGGGTTCTGGGAACCAAATGAAAGAGGCAAGACTTAAGAAGTGTGTTACAGGGTCAGCAGACCCCATCCCTCAGTGCCAGTGCAGCTTGCTTCATTAGCAATGAAATTAACTTAGTTTGGTTGCCCAGCTTCATGTCCCATCCCCAATACACTATTACTGGAAAAGCCTCACTCTTCCCGTATGGCTCCCAAACGGTGTTTTTTGTCCTTTCTAAAGGGTATTCACAGTTCCATGCTACACTCCTAGCTCTATCCCCTGTTCAAATACTTCCTGGTATAATACTTCTGGATACCTTCCACCACTCACAGTTCATCCTGCAAAATATCCTTGTCTATTCCACGCTCACCTAACTGGTGAAGGGAAGAAGCCAGTGGACCTGCAGACTAGGACAAGGCAACATACAATATTGTTGGTGTGACATGCTGATTACCTTGCAGGCTGCTACTCTCAGCTGCCAGGCCAGTCAAACAAAGGGACTGAACTTTTCCTCTTTTTCCCCCTCTTCCTCTTCCCAGCATCAACTTTCATAAAATCCTTTCAGAATATAATGCTGAAATTGCTACCCCTCCATTAAACCTGACTGATACTGCTGAATGAGTTAAAGAGATATCAAAGCAGTAGATTAACAGAAAGGAATAGACAACACAATCACAAGCTTTGATCTCTCAGCAAGGCTAAACAGGGTTGTTGTCCCATATTATTAGCAACAGAAGAAGTTTCCAAAGAGGCATTCCTTCCAGACAACAATTTAGTAGCATATAACAAAACCAGAGGTTACCTTTCCTTTTTTTAAAATACCTTGATACCTTCTTATGAAGCATGGAACAGGGGATTTTGCACTGCTTGTAATAAAAGGAATTTCCATGGTGTTTTCAGTACGTTTGCTTTTGAAGGGGACAACTAACCACTCCATTGCTTCTGAAGATTGGCCAGTATTGTAATTCAGAATAAGTATTCTTGAAATAATTAGTGAGTAACTAGGTCAGACTTTAAAACAAAGAATATGAGCTTAGATTAAGTTAAAAATCTCTTCCAATCATTTAATAAGAACCTAAAAGCTGGCCGTTTGGCAAAGAACAAGTGTAAAAATCAGTCTGCTATCTAATAGACTCTCAGTGAGACATATCACAGGTTTCTGATGACCGATGCCCAGAAGGCTGGGCAGAATGAAAGACGCTCCACTTACCTTCTACGAATTCACTTTCACCTGTTTTAACTATGAGTCGTAAATTCCCAGTCCCCTCTTCAGTTCTAGCAACTGTCAGCAGACTGAGCCTAAATGTGCTGTATAGGTCTACAGAGTATTATTTAATAGGTCTTGTTACAAAGTGTTTATTGCTTGACAGATACAACACTTCACTCTAAAAATGTGGTCAATTGGTTTAAAAGAAATGGAAAGCCCCAATCTTTATTTCGATTTGCAAAGTAATTTTATATCTCGACTGTTCTTGACTAAGATCTCTCAGAATCTCTGAAAAATGGTGAAAATGATTTCATGGGCATGTTATAAGTTTAGTGTTTGTAAAGAAGAGAGATTTCTATGACTCTAGAGAGCCAATTAGATTCTGCAGAAGGCTTCTGATGTTCAACGTTTGCACTGCATGTGCTAAGGAAAGAGTTTTTTGGAAGTTCCTTACTGCATAGGCAGCTAATCATCCAATTTTAGGAAACAGGGTTCCAAAGAAAACAAAAGCAATCCATTAAACATTTTATTAATCAAACTATTCAAGAAAGTGTAGAAAACCCAGCCAGTTATATGCCCCATAAATTGACCTCAAAAGACAGTCAAAACAATGGACTGACCAACCATTTCTTATATACAATTGATCAAAATACCTTCCAGCGACACAAAAGCTCTAAAGGTCTGGAGAAATCGCCTACTCCCTGCCCATCAGTATTTGAGAAATCTCTTCAAAGTCTGCATGAACTAAGTAAGGATGGAACATAAGAGAGGAAAGAGAGCAGTTTTCTGCGTAGGGAGGTAGGGAAAAGAGCAATCACTGTTTCTCACACAGGAACTGTTCAGTACAAAGTGCGGATATTCCAAACCAAAGCACCTTTTAACTACAGCTCATGACTTCTGTATTTTTTATGGTCTCAACACCATTTTACACAGTATGTTTATACATTTGCAGTAACAAAAGGACAGCTTTTTAAGAATGAATCAGGCTGTAACAAACAAGCAATTGTGAAGGTGTTATTAATGTCTCTTTAGAACTGTAAACCATATGGCAGCATCTCTTTCTGAGCAGTATTTGACTATTTTGGATGGCTTTGCACTGATAGCCCATTCAGGCTACCAATGTTAACTATCATCAGTTATCTACCATAGCTTTAACATACAGCTTTTATGGATTCTTCTGCTCTGTGTTAGTAGTTATATCCCCATTTTGTACAGTGCAGATAACTGATTCACTCATTCTTCAGTAACAGGAATATCTACAGTAACTGTACTAGCTAAAAGTCTGAAAAAAGAGAAATCTCACACAGGACACAGAACTTCACAGCCCCTAACAAAAACGGGCAGAAACCCTGAAGACATCTGCTGCTGACCTGATAGAAAAAGGCACCTCTAGCACACAGAAATGACTATCACGGCTGATCTGGGTACAGTGTGGAGAAAAAAAAAAAAAAAAATCAACATCCTTTGCTTTGCTGTGTACTTTAAATTCTGTTTCATATTTCAAGCCACTATGTTGTGACCCCCCGGCCTAGAATTTTTTTAAATAAACCTTTTTTCTGCCTTTTTATAGGGGAAAAAAAGCCTTTTTCCTTCTCTATCTTTAATGTAGGTAACTCCATAACATTATAGGTTCTACATTACCTGGTAACCTCACTGTGAAATTTCTACCTTCCTTCCCAGGCAATGTAGCAAGGATGTCAGGTGCCACTGCAGGCTCTCATTAAGTTTAGTGGTGTTTAGCTGAAAGGAATAGCAGGGATAAACTAGATTCAGTGTACTACAGAAGAAAAGAGATGCCTTAAAGATATCATTACTCCAAAAATACTTCAGATTACTTCAATCTTCTTTTCTAGCTTTGAAGAGTCAGATGACAAGTATACCAACTGGAAATGTCTCTGGGACTTCTGTTCTCATTTAAGAAGATAAAGACGGATATACTGTCTTCTCCTTGGCATCTTGTTTCGTGTCCCATCTCACAGGGAGATCTCTTCCAAACCTTCACCAGTATGGTCACCTTGTAGTGCCCAGTTACATCATGTCCAGCTGCAAACAGAAACAACAAATTTGGAAAAGGAGGCACTGAATTCAGGTTATTTTGTGTATTTAGCATTTAGAAATCAACGCAAATTCAGAAATCCTCATGGTAAAATATAAATGGCCTGCACTCACACTTAATACTAAGCTGTTAAAGCACAGAGTCAAACCTAAGCCTTGGAGACATATTTGTAATGACTCAGCAAGTAAAAAATGGCTAAAATACTTAGAAAAAAATCCTCTTGAAATCCTTGAATTTCAGCAAGCCGGTACAGAAAAGGTTAACTGAGAAGCCTAAAACAGCTTTTTAAAATGATTTTTAGTTTCCCACATAAACAGCTGTTCTACATCTACAAGCTTTGCTAAATGCTATTACAGTAAGTTATAACAACCTGCTATCAAACAAGTAGCCTTACTGGATCTTTAGAAGGATGCTAGAGAAGAAGATTAATCTATGTAAACATCAGTGTTACCACACAACCCAGTGTTTGCCCTCATGAAATTAATATTTAGGTACATTTTATAATAGCAACTAAGTAATTTTATGTATTTCTCTCTGCCTTAGTTCTTTGGTGTTTGCTAAGCCAGGCGCTCTAACCTACTGCTTTAAGAAGTTCTCCCTGCACCTTTCAGTTACAATTTAATTCTGAAGTCACATCATGTCTTTATGGCACTCACCAAATCATCAACGTCACCACCTTCATCTGTGGCAGGCAGAGTTGCATTTTGCTTTTCTTTCGGGGCCAAGAACTAAAAATAAACATGTATTTTAAATGATACTGAGAAAGCTCAAGACCCTTAATGTTAAATGCATGCATGTAATTTTGATATCAAAACTAACACACTTATAATTAAAAATGAAAGGAGGAAAAGCTCCAGGGATAATGAATCACAGAACAACTGAGGTTGAAAGGGACCTCTGGAGAT